TTTTTATTAGTTATGTATTTTAATGCACATTTTTAGATATTTTAAGATTTTCAGTGTTGATATAAAGTTTTCCCTTATAAAAATTAATTTGAGAAGAATAAATGAGTATATTTAAATACTCATTTGTTAGCATGGGGGGGAAACTTAATAGAAAAATGGGCAAAGGAAATACAGCTCTAGTTTAGAGAAAAATATGTACAAACAAATGTTTTTAAACATGTAAAAATATACCCAACTTCAGACATATTAAAAATAAATAACATTTTAAAAGGCTAGAGGAGCAGGGGAAATGGGAAAATGTTGGTCATATGCTACAAAGTTTTAGCTAGACAGGAGGAATGCATTTTTTAAGATCTATTGCACAGCATGGTGACCATAGTTGATAATAATTTATTGTATAGTCCAAAATTGCTAAGAGTGTAAATTTCAAATGTTCTCACCATAAAAATAAGTATTCAAAGTGATTATATGTTAATTAGCTTGATTTAATCATTCCACACTGTATACATAAGTTATAACATCACCTTGTACCCCACAAATATATACCATTATAATTTGTCAATTTACAATAAGATTAAAAATACAAATTCCTTGAGGTTGTGAGAATTCCTCATCATCTGTTTACTGGGGCTGTCCTCAGCTCTTGAAACTGCTCACATTTCTCCTCCCGTGGCCCCTTCCAGACTCAAAGCAGCAGTGGCACATCAGATCTTTCACATACAATGGATTGCTTTAACTTCCTCTTCTGCCTTCCTTTTCTCTCTTTCTAAGGCCACACGTGATTACCTGGGATTCACCTAGATAACAACATAATCTCCCTATCTTAATGTCAATTGATTAGAAACTTTAATTACATCCGCAAAGTCCCTCTTGCCATGTAATATAACATACTCATAGGCATGATATCTCAACATATTCAGTTTCTGGGGATTAGCGCAGGACATCTTTGGGTAGGGGGTCATTTTAGAAATTCTGCCTACTTACAGCCCACGTACACACAAAATACACATTGCGTTTTTGTTTTTAAAGTAAAAAAACAAAAAAGAACAGAAAGAAAGAGCCTAAATGTCTACTAGTGTTCAGAGGACTAGTTAATGATATATCTGTACAATAGAATACTATGTAACCATTAAACATAATGATGGAGCACTATATGTACTAAAATGATAAATTGCCAAGATATATTTTTAAGTAAAAAAGCAAGGCCCAAGACAGGGTATACAGGATGCTAGACTTTGCATTTGTAAAGGAGTTATATCTCTGAAAAATACCATGGAGACTGGTCAGAGTAATGGTCTCCAGGGACTGAGGAATAGAATGATAGTTTTCACGTTTGTGCACATTAAATTTTTACCATATGTATGTTACTTTTTAAACACTAAAAATAAATAAAACAGAAAAGCCTAAATCCTAATAAGATGTTTAACTAAAATTATAAAATAAATTGTGCTGGTTTATAGTGACAGACAATGGGGCAGCCAGTAATTGCTTCATGGGCAACCTGTTCTTTCTCCTTATGCTTTGAGCACTACTAGAGAAATCTGCCTACCTCTGACCTCCACGGCCAAGAAGAGAGGGTTGATGTGAAACTAAGAGGAAAGCATATAGACAATCTTTTCTCCCTGATCCTATGAGCGTGTGGTTTAAATCAATCCACACTATTTTAAATCCAATCCTTGACAACGGAAGTTAGCGTAGAAGATGTAAGACAAGACTTGGCTCAATGGCTACATGATAAAATAATTTGGTGCTCCAAGAGGAACTTACAAAGGAGTCAAATCTGGGACCAGCTCCTCGAGATTCAGCCACTGAG